TTGATATAGGCTAAGCATTTTGGAAAAGCGAACATATTCATAAAACAATTATTGTGTTAGTTAAATATGAAAGTTAAAAGATCTGTTTTGAGATAAATTTAGAAGTTGTTGCTGCTCAGAATAAAAGGTAGTTTGGCCTCAACAACTTCCACAGCACATTAGCTCATAGCAGTGCTCTGTATACAATAATATATTTTCTGATGTAGCCTCAGCTGCCAAATATCTTTTATGATTAAACTTTCTTATTCATCAGCCTTTTAAAAGCAATAAATCTTGTGTGTTTTTTGTCTCAGTTTGTTTGCAACTGGTAAATATGTGAAAATTAAGGATACGCTCATAATTCAAATCAGTTGTCTCTTTTTTTTAATGCCAAACACAAACATCAAGTTCATATAAACACTTTAAAACATTCAATTTTAATTTGAACATTTAGAAGAAATAAAAAACGATAAATACAAACATTCAAACACATTACAGCTCAGTGCATCTTTCAAACATCCACCTGAATGATTTATATCAGTTCTTAGTGTAAACAGGTGAAACATCAGGTGTCACATCAGGTGTGTCACTGCTGGAGAACCAGAGGGTCGAGGGGCAGAGTGTCAGAGAAGCCACCCGAGAACAAAGTCTCACACTGGGCCTGAAGAAGCTGCTGGGCTTCCTGGAGCTCCGGCAGGAGGCAAGACGCCGTCTGCAGGTCGGTATAGAGCGGGGGAGAGCCGGGGAGAGGGTCACCAAGGGAGGGGAAGTGTGACTGGGTCAACTGGGAGGAGGTGAAGAGAGGAGGAGATGGGGAGGAGTAGAGAGGAGGAGAGGAGCTGCAGGAGTCCCACTGAGGCACCACAGCACCCGGCGAGTAAGAGGAGACGTATCCCTGAGGAGGAGGAGGGGGGGAGGCGTGCTTCGGTACCTGCATGTACAGGGAGGGGGAGTCTGTGTGAGGAGGGGGATGAGGAGATGGAAAGGAGTCCTGGAGGTGATACAGGAAGCTGCTGATGTCGGGGGGGCAGCTTGAGAACGCAGGAAAGTCACTGCTGCTGCAGTGCCTGCTGGGAATTTTAGGGCTGGGTTCTGAGGAGGAGGATTCAGAGAGAGACGAGGGGGAGGCGGAGGCGGAGGGGGAGGAAGATGGTTTCTCTTCAGTGGTCATGTTGTCAGCCTTCCTCTTTCTCTTGCGGCGAAAGTTTCCGTTGTCAAACGACTTCTCACAGTTTGGATCCAGAGTCCAGTAGTTACCTTTACCTGCAGAGAGGAGGAGGAGGAGGAGGAGGAGGAGATGGTTAATAAAGATGATGCAACTATTTATCTTCCTTCACAGCATGTAAGGCAAACACAACTCATGAGCTTATGCAGCCAATAAACAACATAAAGTTGGTTTTAACAATGTTTTGTTAACGGAACAGGCGGTCCTCTTATTTTACACAGAAACTGAGTGGAGTTTGGTTCAGAGGAACAATGATTACTTTGCCTGGTTCTTGCTCAACTGACTTTACAGAAACTTTACACAAGGAAGTTTAAACTCTACAGACAGATGTTATAGAGATGAACTGTCTCAAAGAGTGATTGACAGCTCAGATGTCTCACCTGGGTCGGTTTCGTCCCGGGGAACCTTCCGGAAGCAGTCGTTGAGTGACAGGTTGTGGCGGATGGAGTTCTGCCAGCCTGCCTTGTTGCGGCTGTAGAAGGGGAAGTTGTCGGAGACGTATTGGTAGATCTGACTGAGCGTCAGCCGCTGCTCGGGCGCACTCTGTATGGCCATGGCAATGAGGGCTGAGTAAGAGTAGGGCGGGCGGACCAGTCGGAGAACTTCATCTGGAGTCGACAGGGAGAACCAGGGGCTGCCGGGGAGCAGTGGAGTCTGCAGGGGAGGAAAGAAGCCTCCAAACACAGAGGGGAGTCCTGAGGGGGCGGGTCTTGGGGTGGGGATATTGAAGCAGAGGTAGGGCTCACTGTGGTCGTTTAAGGTCCACGGAGCCGCACAAAGGCCGGACTCATGAGCAGCCTGAGGACTGTAGAGGCTGAAGTCAGACGGGTCGACACCCAGAGAGGAGAGCTCCTGCTGGGGGAGAGATCGAGCAGCAAGAGGGGAGGACAGACTCTCTTCCGACACGAAGGACGCCATGATGGAAACTCTTCTTCACTTCTTCTGTACACCTAAGTGAACATGCGACCACGCTGCTGTTACAAAGATGTGTCCGTGTGTGAGTGAGGAGGACACACAATGCTGCTGCACCTGTCCTCCTGTGAACACCTGAGATACTTATACTCTGAGGCCCCTCCCACTAACAACCTGATTGGCTGCTGTACTGTGTATCTCTCTCACACACACGCACACACACACACACACA